ACGTCATATTTGGGAATAACTGATCCAAAATTTTTATACCTCTGAATGACATTGACTCTTGAATTTGAATCCAATATTAATAAATAAAGTTAGTCTTTACTATGCACATCGTAATCCCATATAGGTTCAAGTCCCAAAGTCAAGCCAAAACCTGTCCCTCCGTTAAATATATTGAGCAAGATATTCCTGGCGCCATTCACGTCCCGATCCATCCCACCTCGCACGAGTCACATTTGAAAGTTTTTGATCCACCGAGATCAGTTTTTATGAATCACACGTTTTTGATGTATACTCTTCAGTGCATTCAATGACCTTGCAACCTCTGAATTCCCTCGACTTATGATAATAAGAGCATCCAAAACCTGAAATGCGACCAAGTCAGCATCGCACGAGCAATCTTTGACCGAATCCTTCGCTTGTTCTTCAAAACCATCTTCGAAGATTCGAACTTGGGTAAAAGAATTATCTCGTAATTCTGAAATAACCAACGGGCCAGGTGATAATGGCACTCATCGATCAAATCACGAATTCATTGTATAATTCGTAGCGTCTTTTTTCTCAATCAAAAATTTTTCTATTTGTTCTTCCCAATGCAAGTTCTTTATCACTCCGTAATTTGTCATATTTCTTGGATAATATGAATGCTTTACTAAAACTATTATTACTCCATTCGACTAATTGATTATCGGAATCGTAACCGATCATAATCGTGCGAACACCTAGATCAAGCGATCTGAACATCATCTTGGTTATCGATGATACGGAAACATAAAAGTACATGCTAACCGTATTATTGATATCTAGTGGTCATTCTGAGGTAATAATATTCTTTAGGGATGCAAGGATCGAGACGGTTTGTCTCGACCCTTCTTCGATCGGCACTTCATTCGAAAATTATTTTCATGCAACTTCTTGTTGTGTTATATGCTCCATCAATTGTCGAATTACATACGAACGTACTTCCCTAGGGATCTCTTTTACCCAGGAATTCTTCGGGTAGTGCTTTCGCATGACGCTCATGTCTATCCTAAACCATCTCAAGAACCTTGTTGTACGTCCATCTCACAGCTCCTATCCACTTTCTTAACTTTCCTCTTTCTTCGGGCATTGGGTAAAACCGTATTTTTCGTGTTTTCAGTCTCTCTTCGTCGTTTTCGGTTCTCGGCTGATCTGAGCCTATTGTGTCTTGCCTTGAAGAAAGTAACAATCGATAGTAGGGATGTCATTAATATTGACGTCCGAATCGAGTACCATGATTTTTGTACCGTTCTTGCTGAATCCATTCGACGAGCTCGTACGCAAATCTGCAGAGTCGATCCTTCCTGGTAACCACAACCTCATCGATATCTCTCGTTCCAAAATGGATGTGAAACCCTCGCGTTTCCAGTTGAGACTTGATTCAATATCCCTGATAAATTCTTGGTCTGGAAATTTCTGCCTGAGGTACTCACATTGCCTGTCGAGATCCTCTTTCATTTATCCTTTCTTGATTTCTAAATATCCTTTCCACATCCGCTACAGAATACCACCATGTGTTTTGATGCTCGATATTTTTCCTTGGTTGTTCCACCTTCTTAATGTTTCTGATGAAATTTCATGTTTTTCTGACCTCTTGTGCTCCACAATACTTTGTTGTTGACGCTATCTTGCTCAAATATACGAAAACGGGACTTAAAAGAATATTGAATCATCGACAATGATATAATGATAATTCAACATTCTTTGTCATTAATCAAATAATATAAATACTTACTATTGTTAAAAATAAAAATCAGTATGATGAATAACAAAGCAATAAATATATTTAATTAACAATATTGTATTGTTTACGAACCGTTGAACGAAACATTATATAGTACCACCTTCCGAAAAATCTATGATACCTCGGTTCCCAGAAAAATCGATGATTTATAATGCACTGGAGATATCAGATGTGTGTAACATTCTTTAGAAAAATGATTAACCGACAAGCCAATTGTCAATTGTCACATTTAAATCAAGGCGTCATCAAGAAAGATTTTCCTTGGAAAAAATGAATGACGTTGGCGTAACGCGTTTTAACTAGTTATTCTGGTTGCATAACTTGCAAAATTGTTTGATAATGTAAATTACTTATAACGATAAAGAACACTCTGATCTATAAATTCAACACTGTTTTCTTATTAAAACATAAATTCTAGAGTCAAAACCATCATCTATAATACTGACTGTATAAAAAAACCAAAATAATGTGATCGGTGATCTACATATAATTCATTATAAATAACCGCGTTTGAATCTCAAGATCTATCATACGCGTTCTTTCACTCTTTCACACTCTTACATTTTTTTACACTTTTTTACACTATCTACTTACTATGTTTTTTCTTTCTAAATTCACTGTCAATCTTGGTCCCAAGTACATAGAACTCTTAATAAAATCTCCACAAATGCACGCCTTCTTTAGATGCACATTTTTAAAATTTTTTATATATTCCCGAAGGGAGAGCATTTAGAGAGGGTTATTTTACGTCTTTTTTAATAAGAAAATAACCCTTTTAGGGCTAGAGTGAAAGAAATATATTGACCTTATTCCTTATTACTTTTAAATAGTATAAGTTAGAGCCTTCGGGTCAAGGCTTAAAGTCATATTGGAACGACGTGATTCGTATGCGCAAAAGGGTAAAATTATTTCTAGAGACAAGATCTAGTGGATTTTGAAACCATGCGCCAGAAACATATACAAGCTCTGTCCGATCTTAACGATCGGATAACCAATGTTAATATGGAATTGAATGAAGTAGAGGTCACTATCAGTGCGATCAATAAAGAACTCTTTGAGCTCGAAAAAAAGAGTGATAGCGAACGCGACGATGATGAAAACGACGGTGAACGTGATGAAAAATACGTCAACCATGTCAATCATGATGACAATAATGATCATTTGATAATAATTATATTTTTATATTCGACCGTGTTCCGTCTAACCATAACCACTATAATCGCGAGGATTTCTCTTCTGGCAATGGTCACGATAATAATAGAAATCGTAATAATTATCGTTACCGTCAAAGACATCCACGTGATAATAATTATTGTCGTGGGCTATCCGGTCAATTTCCCACAATTTGCGTAATGGTGTGACAAAACATGAGGTGAGTGAACTTTTTAGGCTTTAACTTTTGAGGGGGTTTTTTTCGATTTGACCGGACTTGACTTTAACTTCTCTACCAGCTAACCTAGAATTCTTTCAATGCCAATTCCTTTAGGCAAATCCTAGGTTTTTTCTCTTAACAAGCTACAAGTACTTTTGGCACACAAGAAAACAAGGTAAGAGTTACCCTTAAACTTTACTTTATTGTTTATACTAATGTTCTCTTTTATATGTTATCAAACTGCGCATATATTCATGCATGCGCCTATTATTTACTTGTTTATATCTGTTAATAATTCTACGCTATTCTAGAAATTCACATAATTTTCCCATCTTGGATTCCCACCGTTCTTCCCATAACACCAATTACGTAACGTGACTAGTACCGCGTTTCGTGCCCCCTTTTTACACACACGACATTATGCAAGCCCCTCTTCTCACCGTAACATCCGTACCGCTGAGGTGGTAGAAACAAGATGATCAGTTTGACGTACAAAGTTTGTTTAATGAAGACAACAATCAATGTTATAAACATGAATAGTGAAACGGTTAATTTTCATATTTATTACGATTAATGTAATTAAATTGAATCAATGCTTATGATGTGTAATTAATTATAAAAATGTAGGATGAACAATTACTCGCGAGCAAAAAAAAAATGAAGGGATATCAATTGAAAATGTGAGTGAAGAACAACGTACTTTGGAGTCTGAGTCATTGATGCCAACCTTAGCTCGTTTGTATAGAAAAGCAATCCATACTAAGGTACGCACAAAACATGGAAATCAAGATGAGATTCGGTACTGGTACCATTATGAAAAGGAGTACGAAAACAAAGTACGGGATCTTAAACGATAATCGAATTTCCGAAAAAATCGCACCAAGTCGTGTGTATAGAGAAGTCATACATTATTTTCCAGGGATTATGATTGCTAATTAAGACTCAAAAAGCAGGACGCATTTTATAATGGAAAAACCATGTGACCTACGTGACGCGAAGAATTTACTGAAAATTTGAGATTGAACAATGAAATCCAAGAAAGAGTTAGACAAAATAGCAAAAAATAATTAGTGTATTGATTTTACAATTATATATATTTTATAGCAATTATGTTTTCTTATTACCATAAAAGGAATTTTGATTATTTAGTAATTTTGACAATATGACCTTTGAAAAATGTTTGAATTCAATTTTATCACATAATAGCAATGATTTAATTTATAATATTTATAGCAATTATATTTTAGAGTGTTTATATAGTCTTTTTATTTTATATATCTTTAATTGAAAACATGTATATAAGCAATATAATTGTTATCAAATAAAAATAAGAGTTCGAAAGAAAGAGCTTGAATAATAGAAAGATTTAATTAAATAGTTGAGTTTATAATAACATATTTATGACTAATAAGTTTATATTAGAGTATTTGTTAGATTTTAACAATATTTTTAGATTAAATTAAATCATTTTTGATTTTACTTAAGTAAAGAAAGGTTCTATCTTTAATACAATTTGTATGTTATTTGATTCAATTAAGAAAATAAATCAAAAGACATAATATAATATAAATTTTATTGTAATTTTATTACAATTAGGATTTTTAATAATATTAATTTGATATTAAGTTAATATTAAATTTATTATAAGTCTATTTTAATATTATTTTGATTAATTTAAAATTTTAATTACAACTTAATTAGTTTAAAAAAACTAATATGTATATTATACTTAATAATATTATATTATATATAGTTTTAGAATTAAGCAAGTATTTTATAAAATAATAAAATAATTTTTATTAAATGTATTATTGACACTAGTTTAAATTATATTATTAGATTATTAAATTATAGTTAATTTAATTTAAAATTGTTAATATCAAAATTTATTATATAATTTATTTGATATTATTTGATATTTAAAATTTAATAATAATATATAATATTTGATAAATTTATTTTTATAAAATTTTATTATAATAATTAATGACTTTTTGTTATAACAATTTAATTTAATTCAATAATTAAATCAAAATTACAATGATAATTATTAATTAATTGTTATAAATATAATAAATTATACAAAATTTTATAATTTTTATAAATTAAAAAAATATTAATTTATAATTATATTTAACAATTCTATATTTTTAAAAAAAATTTAAAAATTTATATTATCAATATTTTTTTGAATATATAAATAATTTTTATAATTAATAATTTTGTTTTATTATTAATAATTTGTTTTTTTATAAATTTTTTTTTTCTTGATTATTTAATTTATAAATTTAATTTGATAAATTTTTAAATAAAATTATACTATAACTAGAGTTTCTAACAATACTATTTTAGTATCAAATTGATATTGAATTTATTAAAAAAAACTTTCTCCTGATCGTGTCTATTTTGTTAAAAAATTTTCTTTTATGGTAATTTTAAATAAGAAAAAATATTTTACTCTCTTTATCACAAGTAAACTCCAGTTCAAGAACTCAAGAATCTTCAAGACAACTGGTGCAGTGGGATGGGACCTTTGGTTGAAGTCTACTCAAATTTGAAAGTCTTGCTTATTCTTTGGTTGCATAAGAAAAGACCTGTGGCAGTTTTCTTTTCTTTAATTCTCTTGCACCCTCCTTACCCTTATTTTATTATAAAAATTATATATATCATTACCATTATACTCGCTAAGCCAAATACTTTTCAAAATCCATACTCAAATAGAGTTAATAGGTCTACTGTTTGTTTCAAGTTAATCCTTATACACAATATCTATATAGTAATATCTGCTATGTCACTTTCAATTTCCAAAAATTTCTCACCCAAAAAACTGAAATCAGTTTATCCTATACATGTGGCATAAATTATTTTGCTGTTGACTCAATTCCTCAAATTCTCAAAAATAATTATGTCATGACTTAATTATTTATATATTTTAATAGTGACTTAATTAATTGAATCAAATAATTGCATTAATTGCGTCAAGGATCTATAAATTTTAGCAATATGTATAGTTTATCCCTTTAGATAATCAGTGCTCTTTAATCATCCAATCAGATTTCACTTAATAATTAAAAAAAAACTCAAACAAGCTCAAACCAGTTTTGTACCACAACAATCACAATAATAACAAAAACTAATACACTATCAACAATTATAACAACAAATAACATTACATATATTTTATTATCTATGGTAACTGAAGAGCTGGAGAAATAAGACCACGAACCTGTCTGGAGCTTTCAAGAGGAAATAATTGGTTTTTTTACTTATAGATTTTATAGTACTGTATATTCAATTTAGTTTTAGTTACAGTTACTTTTATT